CGACGCCTCACGCCTCGATCGACGCGACTACACTCGGTCAACCGAACCAGAACACCAGCCGAGGCGCATTAACGCCTACTCAGGCTCGGTTCTTTACGCCACGCCAACGCACATGTCAAACGCTATCAGCCTGCCTCCTGCAGGTGGGCACATCAAACAACAGTAAGCTTCTCTATAAATACCCTCTCGTTCATCAGAGAAAAGGGGGGCGAGACACACACTGAAACACTTTTTCTTCTGAAACCCCCTCCACATCATCTAACTTGATCGTCGGAGGGGTCGGGTCGAGCACCCCGACCCGACCTTTGTGTAGGTGCGAAGCCGAAGGTCCCCGTCGGTCCCGCAGGCAGAGACGAATACACCGTCTCGATCGAACATCGCCCCCGACCTCCTCAGCGGGCTCGAGGAGCGCCCCTAGGGAGATCCCCATCTTCTGGACCCGAACCGAGCCGCGTCGACCCCGAGGCCACGGCTCAAGGTTGTTTACACTAACAATATGCTTTCCATGTAATAAATTAATATTATATCGTTATTGACATAAGCACGAAGACTAATTATCTATTTTGAATGAGTGATTTTATTCTTTCATAATGAGTTCCAAAAAACTTATCTGAGAATAAGGGTGATGCAAAAGGCTTATAAACCTTTGGTTCTTTTACTCCTCAACTAACGTGTAATTAAATATTTTTATCGATGGCCCCCCTAATATGAGAATCAATGGCTCATGACTCTCATTCTAGCTTTAAAATATTAGGAAAAAAATATCATTGATGTCTCTATCAGCATGATGTGGCCTTGATCTGCATGTGAGGAGTCTTCTAGGATAGAGCACGATTTCTCCAGACTCGTTATCTATACAAAGACCAAGATCGGAGGTAGCTTCCCGAATCGATCCTTCTGATATTTAAATTAGTATCAAAATCCCTATCTCTAACCTAGAGTTCATGATACGTTTTCATACTATCCCTGAGGAGAAAGAACATCTCCGAGCTACCTTTGAACTTTTGAGAATATTCTTACGAATATTCTGTATGGGAGATAGTTTGTAACTGATCCGAGTTGCCCTCTTAACTTTGAAAAATATTTCTACAAATATACCATAAGGAAAATAGTTCGTAACCTACCCGAACTACCACATGAAATTTTAAAAATATTCTTATGAATATTTCACAAAGGAGCTAGCTCGATAACTAGGTAATTGACTTGAGTTGTCTTTTGGACTCCTATCCACTATGGCAAGAAGGTGTTAGCCTTATGTGATGTTGAAGTGACGCTAGTTGATTTTATTTTTGCTATCAGAATCTAAGACCTAAGTAAGTTTACCAAGAAATTATTTCTTATTGATATTCGAGTTTGATGCATAGATTATGCTAATCAACATCAATGATGCTAGATGATTTAAAATCTCATCCCATAATATTTTTTATACATAAAATATAAATGAAAGATGTTAACTAATTTAATCCATAGAAAAATTTTAATATTAAATATCATTTTTCATCTTTTATCTTTTATCTTTTGATGAAAACAGAAACAAAAGTTGACTTGACTAATAAGGATTTAAAGTGTGTTGAGATATGTCTTACACATTGGCTTCCACAATTGTGTTCATATATACAACACTTTGAATGATGGAGTCAACACGCACACGTCAATGCCATAACACGTCTCACCCATCATCACGTATGATTTGGATGGACATCTCACACGGCAATCGATCGAGACCGACCCGCCAAGAAAAGAGAAGCTTCCAGCAACACCTACACAACACTATTTTGCGTGAATCTTAAAGCGTCAATCCATTAACTTTCCGTATTTCCCAAAAAAAAAGATATGTGTGCATTATTAAATCTAAAGAGTATATAAAAACGACTATACATTATTTATCGAGTCGATATGCATCATCAATACATAGTACATCGATACCGATATATACCCAAAACTCAAATATTAGAACGAAATAGAAAAAGACGACGGAGGAAGAGGAAGAGGAAAAAAAAATGATGGAAGAAAAGAGAAAGCTTATCCGAAATTGACGATAATGAATGATTATAATCAACTCATGGTATATAATTAATTATTTATTTTAACAAATCAGATCGACTCGATCGTTCATGAATATATTCATTTAAAGAAAATACATACTACTTATTTCATGCTAATGCTAATGCCAATGCCAATGGCAATGGGATCGAAATCATATTGTATTTAGATAATCTAAATGTATAGGAACCATATTATTTTTTTTAAAAAAATATATTTTTAATATCAAATCACTTTTCAACTCTTATTCGACCTTTGTTACTTAATTATTAGGAAGACTTTGTGATTTCAGTTTTAAAAAAATAAAAACCACTATCAAACCAACTCCCAAAAAAAGTCAAGTATAAAATAAAATACAATGGTTGAGTTTCTTGTGACTAAATTATATATATATAT